TTATACATCAGATCAAAAATGAGGGACAACTGAGCAGGAAAGAGGGTTTCAAAAGAAGGACATTCCCTGCTAATGAGGGACAGTTGGGAGCTATGCATCTCTGAACCCTACAGGTTGACCAAAGCCTTAAAAGCCATCTTATCTAGACTTATGTGTAAATTAATAGCCATTTAAAGGACCAGTTATTTTAAAAAGCTGCCCATGTGATGGAACTTCTAATAACATAAAGGTCCCCATACACTTGATGAGATTTGACATTGACGTACGTTGACAGTGGAGTCATTTATTCTGCACTGGTAGCCTTTTACGTCTAAAATAGTCGAAGAAGGTACCAGCGAGAAGAGATAAGAACATTTATCAATGAATGTCGATGTGATAACCAACTCGTGGTTTGTCAGTATGTGGTTAAGCTGTACAGGCTCCACCATTTATCAAATTAGCAGTTTTTGGACTAATCCTTTAAAGGTCAGTTCACTCAAAAGTGGTATTTTAGTTCTATCTGGAAACTGGTGGAGTCAACACTTGACTTCTTATATGTCTTTGAAGCTCCAACAGTGAGATATCCCTGATAATTCCAGACTCTGTTCCCGTCCATCTGGGCATTTTGAGTGTTCTAGTCCACCTTTGTGTGTCAAGTTCCTCCTGTTACACTCACCATGCCATAAAATAAATACAAATCCAGAGGGGAGAATGGGAACCCCTAATGACGGGCAGAGCAAGTGTACAGACCCGGGAACTTAGTGATCTCACCAATGGACTCCCTCAGAGACAGAAGAAACTGTTGGGTGTTTTAAGTCTCCAGCACCTACCTAAAACTGAGCTCTGAGTCAAGTGACCCTTCAAGGATTATTTATAGCTGCCTTTGAGACAGGCTGTAACAAAGTGTTAAAAGTTAAAAGGAATTTCAGAGCCATTCATCTATTCAACATGAGCAGGAATCTATCAGTCAATACTGTAAATCATGCCAAATACCTAACAATGAATTTGAAGTCAGGCTCCGATAGAGTATCAAAGTCATTCTGTCCTGCGCAGTATGATTGTGCCAAATACATAATATCCACTCTATGGATACCCAACCATCGGACCTACTATATGGCCAAAGTATGTGGAGATTCCTACAGATGACTGAGTTTTGGTGTTCCCAGTGAAGGGTACTGTTATTGCTACAGCATACAAAGACATTTTAGACAATTGTGCACTTCCCATCTTGTGGTAACAGTTTGGGGGAAGACCCTTTTCTGTTCCAGCATGACTGTGTCTCTGGAACAAAGCCAGCGCCATAAAGGCTGTTTTAGGGGAACTCCAGTGGCCTTCACGGAGCCCTGACCTCATCCCTATTAAACGCCTTTGGGATGAATTGGAACAGCAATTGTGAGCTGGTTCTTCTCATCCAACATCAGTACTTGACTTCTCATATGTTCTTTTAGAAAGTTAGAGATTGGGGCAATTGCAACCCATCCTCGACCCTTCAGGATTAGAACCAACAACTTCTCTTGCTCGTTTACTTATAATTCTTCCAATAGTAAAAAGAATCTGAGACTTCATAGAATCTAATGACTTAGTGGCCCATGTAAGGCCAGCCTCATACATATGATTTGAGGAACCCCGGTACCTGGTGAGCGATTACAACAGCTCCTAAAGAGTTAAAATGTACCCACTGCAGTGGACATAGCGATTATGAAGATTGTGCAGCTGCACATGGACCTTCTCAGGCTTATGGAACTATTTATACTAGATCAGACGGGTGCTAGGGCTGTCATGTAGACCTGGATGTGGTTTCTTTATATCTTTCAATAGATAATGGGTGAATAAGTGTTTGTACTCGGCCACTAGTTGCATGGAGGACCCAAAACTTGGTTTAGCACAGGAGCCCTTTGATGACCCTGCCACCGGTGCTGGCTTATCAGTTGCTGCACCCTTATAATTCCAGCAACAGCAGATGAGATGTGCACCAACTGTCCGAAATGTCACTAGCTTAGTACAGTCTAGGCAGGGGTAGCCAAACTCCGGCCCTCCAGCTGTGGTGAAACTACAAATCCCATGATACATCTCTCTCCGGGAGTCATGTGTGTGGCTGTGAGAATCTTGCAATGCCTCATGGGATTTGTAGCTCCACCACAGCTGGAGGGCCGTAGTTTGGCTACCCCCTGGTCTAGAGTCAAGTGCAGTCAGGTGAAACATCATTTCTGATTCTTTGCTGTGGACTGCTGCATATTGCACATTGCAAAATGGCAGCCATAGACAAACAGGCACAATCTGACCCCATTGTAAAGATCAATGCTCGGCTCAACCAAGCGCTCATCTTTATATTCTATGCAGAGAAAAAAAAGAGGTATTGGGTAGATCTTGCAGGTGGTGGCCTGGGGACAACCATAGGGATCAAAAGTCAAGCCGCAGATGAGGAGATCTCTCTATTAGAATGACAGGCGTGAAGAATGCAGTGCATGTGCGTCTACTATGCAGCTGGACTGGCTGTGATGTTCACCTTCCGCTCTCCAAAAATGAATACTACTACTAAGCTGGTAATTATCACTCATTATGAGAAGCGGCTGAATAACTGCAAGCCGTGCTCAAATGGACTGAACAGCCTTTCTTCAGGGCCAAATCACACCAATGCATGCACATTGCAGCAGTTGGTTACCTGCGCCAATCTTTTTTCTATGGAACCTCAATGCACCCAAAAAACGCACATGACCCATTTTCTTACAACAAACCTCAACACAGAAGTGGTGTCCGGGATGTGTTGGAGTCCTATGCATTGTTTGGTGCATGAATTTATGTTGAAGACCCAATAGCAATGAATAAGCGCACCCCCAAAATTCTTGTACAATGCATGGTAACGCATACACATAGGTGTGAACCAGGCCGGCAGGAAACTTTATCTGAGAGCAACAGAGGATGACTTCTCACTCGGAAAATGCCAACCAGCCTGACTTTCTGGCTTCAATAGTTTGAGTCCTGTATGCAGGGACGGATTTCCCACAAGGCCAACCAAGGCCCGGCCTCGGGGCAGCAGGGAGTAGAGGGGCTGTAAGGGTGTGGAATTCCTATCTCCCGACGCCTGGGACATGCAGCTCCGGGCGCTGGACGGGTAGTCATCTTGTTTCGCCGAGATCACTTTTATGCAGCCTGCAAGTCTGCCATTCTCCATGGTGGGGGGGGGTTGGCGGGTAGGGGGGTGCATTGAGGAACCTGGCCTTGGGGCAGCAGAGAGAATAAATCCGGCCCTGCATGTATGCTGATG